TAAACTATAATTTCATGTTGCAAAAAATCTTCAATACCTGGGTCTATACCACATGCTTCTAATTCTGTCAGTGGATTTCACTTAATAAAACAAAAATTAGAAAGTAAGATAATTATTAAAAATAATACAACTGCTACCTACAACAATGACTAATAAATTATCTTTGAATGATGCAATAAAAATAGCTAAATCACGAGATGGGAAATGTCTTTCTAAAGAATATATTAATTGCGAAACTCCAATGCTTTGGGAATGTAGTAAAAACCACCAATGGACTGCTCAATTTCGTCATATCAAAAATCAAGGTTCATGGTGTCCAGATTGTAGTAACAGAAAACCTCTTAATCTTGAAATTGCTAAACAAATAGCATATGATAGAAATGGAGAGTGTCTTTCAACATTTTATATAGATAGCAGAGAACCTTTAAAATGGAAATGTTCCAAAAATCATATTTGGTATGCAAGTTTAGGGGTAATAAAAAATCAAGGTACATGGTGTAAGTTTTGCTCACAAACCCGGAGTCATAGTATTGAAGATTGTAAAAAATACGCATCTAAAATGAATGGAGAATGCCTTTCAACTGAATACAAAAATTGTAATACTAAACTATTATGGAGTTGCACAAAAAATCATAAATGGTATGCAACTTTTAAAAATGTAAACAAACGTAATACATGGTGTCCGTATTGTGTATGTAACGTTCGATATACTCTTGAATATGTCAAACAAATTGCATATAGTAGAAATGGAAAATGCCTTTCAACCGGATATAAAAATTGCGAGACTAAACTATTATGGAGCTGTATCAAAGGTCATAAAAGTGTTAAAAATAATAACACGTGGTGTCCACATTGTGCGGGCCAAGCTAAAAATACTCTTGATATTGCTAAAATGATTGCATTTAATAAAGGTGGGGAGTGCGTTTCAAATAAATATATTAATGGTAAATCCCACTTACGATGGAAATGTGTCAGAGGTCATAAATGGAATTCTTCATTGGCAAGTATTAAAAATGGTAATACATGGTGTCCCTATTGCTCAAAATATAAACGTGAGAATCTATGTCGTGAAATTGTATCAAAATATTTAGGGGAGCCATCAAAAAATCGTAAACCTGATTTTCTAAAAACACCTGAATATCCTCAAGGATTAGAACTTGACATTCCATATTATGATTATGGTTTTGCTATTGAAGTCCAGGGAGAGCAACATGAAAAATATAACAAATTCTTTCATAGAGGAGATCTGAATAATTACATCAAACAGCAAGCACGAGATCAACTCAAGAAAGAATTGTGTGAGGAAAACTGGATCGTTTTAAGGTACGTTTGGTATTACGAAGACCCATATATAGTCATCCCAGAGCATCTTCGAGAATTGGGTCTTATTGATTAAAATTAAACTTTAAATGCTTTGTAATTATTATATTATTGCGTTGTTTTTTAAATAATAAAAAAATTTTTTTTTGTAAGAGCAATTATATGTTTATTTTATTTAAAAACATCATATCAACCAACTACAGTTAACTATATATTCTAAACCAAATTCATAATCTTTATTCTTTTTTTTATGACAAAAACAAGTAATCAAAAATTTTTTGAAGGAAAATAATCAAAAATTCGTTTAATTAATTGGGAATTATATCCTTATAATGATTCTTCGAGTAAAAAAAATTTTTTATCTTGACCATAGTCGCTAGATGAAGATCCAATTTTTAATAAAATCCATGCCGTACCAATACGAAGATTAGGTTGTGCATTAAACGCATTTGGTGCTAAGTTTCTACTTTGGATTTCATCACGTACACAATATAAATCACTAAGTTCTTTGAAATGGAACATGCAACGGGAGCTTTTGTCCCTTCTATTTCCCGTGAGGCCATAAGTAGCAAAGGTATTCATCACTTCATTGTACGCGGGCCAACCATATTGGTCAACCCACGCGTTGTTTGGCGTCACTACAAGAATCGGGTCTAGTTCTTCCACATCGGTGAGTTGTTTTTCGTATCTTGTAATTACGTTTTCAGGCGCATCGGGAAAGATTTTTTTAAGAGTACTTGAGAGAGTTGGTAAGAAAACTAAAATAAAATTATTCAATGTGTTAAATACCGTTTGTAAAGAAAAACAATAAATATAAATTCTGTACATCTGTCTTTTCTAACCTTCCTCGGGTTTTTTACTCATATAGCTTTTAGGAATTTTCGAAGACAAAATTTCCATAATTTTGAATATGATGTAAATTCTAATTATTGAGACAATGATATCAGTATAAATGTTTTTCACTAATTAAAAATTTATTCATTAAAAATTGTACCCGGCAATTGTGATCCAAACGGGAGAGAGCAAAAAAAGAAGTAATTAACGCAAAAGGAAACACGAAGAGAAATACGAGAAGAAACACGAAGAAAAACACGAGAGAATTCCAGAGAACAATAAGGCGATTTGGTTTACCCATTTTTGGTCAATTTAATGAATTTAAATGGACATGTAGAAAAATACAATCCTTTCCTTTTATAATGTTAAGAAACCATGCCTTATCGGGTAATCTAATGATCACGTAATTATTACAAAATAAAACGTAATTATTAATTAATAATAAATCAGCTAATCAATCATACTCAGGTAACAATCACGATAACGGAGGAAGATGCAAAAAAGCTACTAAGATTATTTGCAGAATCTAGATTTTGTGATCTTTGGGTTTACTAAGCCGGTGGATGATTCCCTCGCAATCAGATTGGGATGGGACACGCCATTGAAGTTAGAATGAGAAAAGCATATCGTTAATTACTACGCGCCCCTGAAATTAGATGAATAAACCAAGGTTTGACGATCGAATAATTATTTTTTCAGTTATTTATTAATGCATTAATATAATACATCTATCTGCCACTTCTTATATTATTGAGAAGCTGATTGATCCTGCAGGTTTGTAGTTGAGGTGGATAAAAAAAAAATAGATAAACATGATTTATTACTTCGCAGTTATAAAGTGACTATAGTAGGGTTTTTGTGTCCCATAAAACAAGTTTATATACAAAAATAAATTAATCGAATAAATGTATGTCACTGGTCGAAAATTGATAAAATATACACATATCGAGTACCCGATATGTGTATATTTTATCAATTTTTGACCAGTGTATATTATACTTCAAGCTCTAAAAGACGCTTTTGAAATCTAATTCGCAATTGATTCTTTTTAGAACCTATCCAATCATATAGAATATAATATTCATCATAATATCTATTAGGTACCATGCGTCGACCTTGATATTTATTATACTCAGCAATTTTCTTAGTAAGACGTAACTCAAACTGTTGACGAGTTATAGGATTTTTTATTTTTCGAGGTATTATACCTAGAAATTTCT